AGGCAAGTTTCAAGGGGAATTAATTCTGCCACAGAGTGAAAAGTAGGAAAGAAGTTGCAGCCACCTTTAATTTGCCAGAAATATTATCATTACAATATTTTTGTTACAAAAACACCAACTTATTTTGTGAGTGCTTCTTTTACTCACAGTTTATTTGGAAGTTTGTCATCAGATGATTAAATTTTTGAGGCTTTTCTGGATGTCTTTGTGTTGTTGGTTTCTAATCCAATTCCATTGTGGTCAGAGAACATACTTTATAAGATTTCATTCTTGAGACGTTGTAAAGCTAGGGCTTACAGACTTCTCAAGTCTGTTGCACAGATTGGGTTACAAACCCTCCACACACAGGTCTGTGAGCTAGGTAACAGGAAAAAAAGGTTCTAGGAGCCGTGGGTATAGAAAAATGAGTGGGTTTTATTCAGATCTACGTGCAACTATCCTAGGTGCTTCTCTGAGAGTTCTGAGAAGCACTGTGGATCAGAGCAGCTAGTCTTTTATACTTAAGTCCACAACCCTGGACACCTGGGTGCCCATAAACAACTTAAGCAGTAACAAGAAACACCTGAGGACATTAACAGCACCTGCTCGGCAAGACTCTGGACATCTGAGGGGCCCTGACATTTTCCTATTTTTCCCAACAGACATGTTTTATAGCTCACTGTATGCTCTGTTTTGGTGATGGCTCTGCATTGTGCCCTATAAATATCAAGTAGGTAAAGATTTTGACATTTAGATCTGGATTTTTTCTGATTTTTATCTAATGGTTTCATCAGTTACTAAGAGGAGTATTAATTCTCCAACTCTGCTTGTGGATTCACCAATTTCCTGCTTTAGTTCTGTTTTTTATTGCTGTTGTTTCAGGTACAGTCACGTTCCCCATAATGACATTTTGGTCAGCAACAGACCATATATTTGACAGTGGTCGGAGCGATAGCCTGTAGTATATATCTTAGGTGTGCAGTAGTCTGTACCATTCAGGTTTGTGTAAGTACACTTTGCAATGATGACACAACAAAGAAATTGCCTAATGATGCATTTCACGGATTGTATTCCAGTCGTTAAGCAGCACATCACAGCACTTTGAGGCTCTGTGTTTAGGTACAGCCATGTTGATAGTTGCTGTATCATCCTCTCATATGATCTTTGTGTGGTTATGAAATTTCTCTCTATTTCTGGTAATATGTATTGTCTTGAAGTCTCATTTGGGTAGTATTTGTTTCTCCATTAAACTTTTGTAATTAGTGTCTGTGTAGTGTATCTTTATTTTATTTTATTACATATAAAATTTTTATTTAAGACAAAATTGAGTTCTTAGAAAATTTACAATTGAACATATCCCAGTGTCATTAAATATTATTCAAACACATAGTTTTTTAAATTTTTATTTGGAAATTATTTCAAATTTATAAAAAAATTGCAAAAACAGTACAAAGAACATTGGTGTACCCTTTACCTGATTGTTAACATTGAGCAACTGTTAATATTTTACTCATTTGCTTTATCATTTGTGCCTGCTCTGTTTCTCTCATGCACGCAATGTTTTCTCTGAACCATGTGAGTGTAACTTACATACATCATGGCCTCCTACCCCTAAATACTTAAAGCGACTTTCCTAAGAATAGGGATATTCTCTTATACAGCCACAGTTCAGTTTTCCCAGTTGACCCAGTCGTGTCCTTCAGAGCATTGTTCTCCTCCAGTATGGGATCCAGTCTTGGGTTTACTTGTCATTTCTCTTTTGCTTCTTTTAACATGAAACATTTCCACAATCTTTCTTTGTCTCTTACAACACTGACATGTCCAAAGAACACAGTCCCTCTATTTTCATAAGATTGTTTTCATTTTGTGTTAACCTGATGTTCCCTTATGATTAGATTGAGGTGCTGCTTTTGAACCAAGAAAGCTTCATGGGTGACAATGTGTCCTCCTCAGGATCACATCTGGAGGTAAACAATGTCGATCTGTCCCTCACTTTAACTGGTGAGTTTATTTTGATCACCAGTCAAGGTATTGTCTAATTTCTCCACTGTATAACCACTGTTCTTGTTTTTTTCTCCCTTACAAGTAATAAGGAATCTGTGAGGAGACACCTTAAGCCCATGCAAATATCCTACTTCTCATCAAAATTCCCCATAGATTCAGCATCTATTGATTCTTGACCTTTTTTTTTTTTTTCCTTTTTGTCTTTTTTCATGACCGGCAATGGATCGCAACCCTCAGTGTCGCGCCCGTACCAGACCGGGACCAGCAATGGGATCGCAACCCTCGGTGTTGCGCCCGCACCTCGCTCAGCCAGTGAGAGGCCGGTCTGTATATGGGATCCGAACCCTCGGCAGGAGCGCCACCGCACTCCCAAGCGGTGCACTGTAGCAGTGCGCCACCGGGCCGGCCCGATTCTTGACCTTTTTTAAAAAAACTTTTTACTATGAAAAATTAATATGTATGCAATAAATCTGGCTACAGCAATCAATAACTCATGGCCATTTTATCTTATTTGTACCCCCTGCCCACCTTCTGCCTTTCCCTTGTATTATTTGGAGTAAATCCCAGTATCATAGCATTTGTCTGTGTATATTTCAGTATGTGTCTCTGAAAGAGAAGAGTCTTTCATAAAATACATAACTGCAGTATATAATCACATTTTAAAAACAATAATAATTACTTAATATGACCAAACATTAAATATGTTTAAATTTCTCCAATTCTCTCCCCCTCTCTCTTAATTTATCACAATTGATTTGTTTACATGTGGATCCAGACAAGTTCTGCTTGTTGCATTGGTTGCTATGTCAGGTGTCTCTAATGTTTCTTTTAATCTCTAGGTTCTCTCTTCATCTGATTTTTCCCCTTTACCGGGGGGGGTTGCCCAAAGTCTGAATTTGCTGGCTCCATCCCAGTAGTGTCATTTAACGTGTTCCACCATCCCTGCATTTCCTGATGATTAGCTGCTGATTCTTGAGGCTTCATCTCATTCGGGTTAGATTTGGCTTCAGAGGTGCATGTTCTGACAGCAGGAGGCCCGTTGTGTCTCATCATCTCTATGACATTAGCAGACATTGGTGATCACTTATTAGATCCATTATTTCAATAGGGGGTTGCACAATACCATATTCTAATTATTTTATTCCCTCTTTATTTACTAGCTAGGATGCTTCAAAAGACAGAAATGTTTACTCAGCTATTTATGGTCGCCCTGAGGAAAAATTCATGTAGAAAGGACAGGATAGGCCAGCGTCGCCACCATGGAGCTAGGTGGGTGTCCCAGCTCCCTTGTCCCGGGCCGACCAGGTCGCGCCCCGCAACGCGCCACCTGGACGGTGCTGCATGACGCGCCCTCTCCCACTGCGCACGCTCGCGCCGGCCTGGGCTAACGGAATCGGGCCGGGGAGGGATTTTGGAGGTTCGGGGTGTCCTTGGAGACCAGGAGTTGGGAGCCCGGGCTTCAGCCGTGGCCCCTCAGCTCCTTGGCCCGCCTCTTGTCCCCTCTGGGCCTCTTTCTACGAGCGAATGTGAAGTTAGGTCTCCTGAAAGCGGACGGGTTAGTGCACGTGCTGTGGGAAATGCCGAGCTCGGAGGACGCCCGGGGGGATGCCGGATGCCCCAACGGTCTCATTCACTGAACGTCTTTAAGTTCCTGAGCAGGCGTCTTGTCCTCATCGGTAGAGCGGGATGACGACATGGCCTCCGCCTCACAGTTTGGAGCAGGTTTCAGTGAGACCGCGTGTATACACTTGGGTACAGTGCCTTGCGCAGTGGCAGCACTTACCAAACTAGCAGCCGTGCGGAGGGGGTGCAGCAGCTGAGATGGCACTTTCTGAACCTGTGTGCATTATGATTCAGAATCCACATAGGTGAGGTCTGGAAAAAGGGGGGAACTGGTCGACATCGATGGCCTCTTGCCAGGCCTCCCCATC